AATTAATTGTACAGTACCTGTACAGTACCTAATTTATATATAATACTAAACAGACGATAGCAAACTCAATTTAGCCGCTCCGTAGCGTGGCGCAGGGTCGGAGGTAAGTAGTTCGGCTGCTCATCCACTATTGGTCCAGACTCTATCAATCTTCTCGCGAAACGACGTTATAGGAGGTATTTTATACGAAAGTTGCTACAATTTTTTCGCTACGTTATAGGAATTGTCGTTATAGGAACGTACGTTATAGGGGGGTCGACTGTAATTGAAAAAACTTGAAAAATATTAGTTTTATATTTAAAGCAAAGTTAATGTTAGTTATTATGTAAAATGAACAAATACATATAGTAATCATTAATGGAAAAATTTTATTTCTTTTTTTTATAGCTTGGATCAACTGCTATAGGTATTCAGACTTCTGAAGGTGTTGTACTAGCTGTAGAAAAAAGAGTAACTTCTTCATTAATGGAACCTACAACTATTGAAAAAATTGTGGAAATTGATCATCACATTGGTAATATAATATTTTTTTCTCAAATTTTATTAATCAACAATTTATTTTGATAAATTTTCTGTTTAGATTTGTAAATATTATAATAATAATTCATTTATAATGAAATTACATTTTTTACTGATTTAAAATTTATAATCAAACTAAAGCTATTTATTTAGTACAAGGAAATCCTGTATTTAACAAGCATACAACATATTACAATTAATCAATTATAATTCAAACACCAAACAAAAGTGATGTTAATAATTCAATGTAGAATAATATACTGTTAAAAAACAGTACAAAATAATAATAATAAATAATAACAGTAGCAACAGTAATAATCATATCAAAAATGGCAGTGAATAGTCAGCACAAATTACAGTTCTAAAAATTTTATATGAGAATAAAAACCACTTAACACACAATTTAATTTTTCAGATAGAAAAATTAAAGTGTTAATTCTAAAAAACTCAAAAAGCAGTGACGAATATCACTGCCAACTCTCAAACACAAACCGCTACTAACACGCTATAGCCACACCTGGTGACTATAATGATCTGAAAAAAGTTACAAGCTAAACAATTTAGTTACTATTAACAATTTAACTTAGCAAAAAAATTATAAATACAATCATACTTTTATAATTGCAAAACATGCTTATAACAATGAACCAACAAATAATCTGTACCAAAACACGTATATGATAGACATTAGTGCTTTACATTCAGCTACTAAGTGAAAAGCATCAAAGTTAGAATGGCAGAATTTTCAATATTTTGAACATATTCTTTTTAACATATTACAATGTACAGTACATATAACACAATATATGTACTATATATGTGCCTTTCTATATTTAAATAATTTGCTGAACCTTACTCATTAAAAGTATTTAAATGACAATTGTTATATTTATATGTAGAAGATCTGTTTTTGAACTCAGTTAAATAAGTGTCCATCAATCTCACCAAAATATCAGAGGGATCCATTTCATGCAACATAGTTGTATTTCCTCAATAGCCAAATTTCTGCAATGGTGACATAAGTTGCTCGCTTTATGCCATTCTTTGAGTAATCAAATAGAATTTATCAGGAGCAGTAAGTTTGCTAATGACTGTTTATGTAGCCAAATTATATTTTTTTCTAATATCAAAATAGGAGGGACTCTTTGAAACTCTAAATATACATTATGGAATCCACTTTTAAAAAAAGAAAGATGCTTAGTGAAATTTATTTATAAATTATCATCTTTATCACTCCAATTAAAGCCCCAAATCTCAGAACCATATAGCATTACTGATTGTATAAATGCCTCAATTTTAACTTATTTTTCAGTGTAACAATTTACCAGATGTACCATACATTCTTTGATTACCTTATCCACACCAATTTTGCCTTTATTATGAATGTACTATAATTTAGATGTTTGAAAAATGTTCATTGTATTGAAAAAATACACCCAAATACTTACACTCATCAACAACTTCTATTTTCAACTCTGAATATACCAATTCTCGGTTTTGGAATGCTTTTTTCTCCATTTTGGAATACCATTTAGATTTATTAACATTAATGGAGAGTTGTAACTTCTACATTTCATTTTCCAAAAAGCCAATCATTCTCTGCAAACCAATAGGAAAGTCAGACATAATCACCAGATCATTCACATGTGAGAATTTTTACCTCTGCCTTCAAGATTAATACCCACTAATTCAGAATCACAAAATTTCTTAACAAATGAATTTAAATATAAATTAAACAAAATTGGACTCAATATACAATTCTCACTCCTTTAAACATAAAAAAAGGTCAGAGATACTATAGACTATTATCAGAGAGCTGTGCCTCTGAATTAGTATATAATGGAGTCAAAAACTTGACAAATTTATAATGCAAATTGATTATTTAAAGCTATCTCCACAAAAGGTCTCTATTTAAAGAATCAAACACTGACTTCAAATTAACAAAAAAAAATTTATCTCATTTTCTCTTTAAGGATCTCTGAATCAGTGTGTGTAAAACAAAAATATTATCTAACACCAGAAAGCTATACTGGAAGCCAATTGAAAGTATCTCATTCTTATTCAACCATGTTACCAGATGCCTACATGAAAATTTACAAAAAACTTTAGAAATTGTTGATAACAAAATAGCTCTGTAATTATTGGGTAGATCTATAGATCCCTTCTTATAAATGCCATACTTTTTTTTTCAATCTTCTGTAAAAAGAGCATTTTTTTTAGTACTTCATAAATTGTGGGTCATATTATGTTCTTTAATAAACTTATTTACAGCTATACAGTTTCCAATCTTTGCTCTCTTTGTCATGTTCAATGCATTATTTCTTCTTAAAACATTCAATCTGCAATCTTTGTCAACCACAAAAATTTGCACATTTCAGCTGGCATTTGATACCAATCAGAAAACAAGTATTCAATCAAATATCCCAATTCCTCAACCGTCAATGTCAACTAACTTTGAATCTCAGTCAGAATCTCTAATGATTTTTCATTTAAAATTAGTGGATTTTAACATTAGAAATTAATTAGCAAATGATATATGTGAATCTATAAAAATAATGGGTACTCTTTGGTTAACAGGACACCAATCATTTTTACTACTATTTTTAGAGGAATTGATATTTTATTTCATAATACACACAGTTTTAAATTAATATCAAAAAATTAAACATTTACAAAGAAAAAACTTACTACAAACATTCACTGTATTAAACGGGAGACATAAACTGGCAGATGTCATTTAGTATTGCTGTAAACCAGTGTTTTTCGACCTGTTGGTCGCGACCCCCAGGGGGTCGCAAAGTCTTACACGGGGGGTCGCGGGTGAAAGAAAAAGACAAGTGTTTGTAGGTCCTACACTACGATAAAAAAAATCTAGAATTTCAGTGAGAAGGCTGTGCCTGTTTATTTTACAGTACAATTGGTTTTTTTATTGATATTTAAAGAAAGAAAATAAAATATGTAGTTTTTAAAATCACTGATATAGTTTTAATATGGCCCTGGGGGGGTTGCCGGATTTTTTTAACTTGTAAAGGAGTTGCGTATTCAAGAAGGTTGAAAAACACTGCTGTAAACATTTCGTATTTTGAGTGTAGTCTATGCCACATAAATTCTATAAGATATGAACTAAATGGTGATGTGATGTGTCTTGATGAACTTTTTCCTCCATTTGGTACTCCCCACAGTCTTTCTTTGTTTTGAGTATGACATCCTCTTTCAGGGTCTACAAAGTTATACTTGTGATTTACTTGTAAATGTTCGTATCTGGCTTCTTCTAACTCGTCTTTTTTGTATGCTTTCCAACAGTCAGAAAATATTATACTTCCTTTTTTCATATTATTTTGTATTGCATCTATCAATGTTTTAGCTGAATGGTCATGCATGGTGACTAAAAAAATACTTTTGACTCTCAGCAAACTCCACTGAATACCTAACTACTAACTACTGCTGCATAAGAACACATCAGACATTATATTTTCTATGTGTAAATATGTAAATAGGCTTTCGTCTACCTCAATGACTGTTTTCACCACTGATTTTTACATTGGGTTGAGAAATTAGAGTTTGCACATACCTCACGCATGTAATTATTCTAGTCTACAGTTGTACTAGGATTAATTCTGAACTGCAATTGATAAAATTCTCTAGAGGTTAATTCCAAATACCAGAAATATTCTCTTGACTAAAATTGGGTTTCTTGTAGTGGCATTTTCAGCTTGGAAAATAGCCAAAAGTCACACAGAGCCATGATGGGGGAGTACAGAGTATGATGAACCACAGGAATGTTGTGTTTGGTGACAAAAGTCCGAATCAGATGCGCAGAATGGGCAGGTGCATTATCATGATGGAGCTGCCAAGTTTTGGTTGACCACAGATCCGGTCGTTTGCGTCGCACAGCATCACAAAGACAACGAAGGACCTCCTGGTAGTACTCCTTTGTGATGGTTTGGCCTTGTGGTGTGTACTCACGATACACCACCCCATGGGAGTCAAAAAAAATTGTCAACATGACCTTGACATTGCTGTGGACCTGCCAAGCTTTTTTGGCCTCAAGGATTGTCCCCGAAAGCCTGCTGAATCTTGCGAATGGTTTCTACTTGAGTATTGCCAAGCTTCTGGCAAAATTTGATGCAATATCGCTGCTCACGTTGTTCAGTCATTTTCCAACTTAGTGGAATCTGACGAGCGCTCACTACACGTCCTCGCTCATAGGCCGACTGTCAGTGACTAACGCTTCCTGCAGGCAGGAAAAAATTCAGGACTGTACATGACTGTCCCCTCCACAACTCCACCGAAAGAGACCTCCCGTGCATCATTGGTTTACGCAGGAAAAATAAAGGTCCAATACTTTTTGAACATCCCTGTATATCAGCTTTATACTTCTATAATTTCTGTATTTCTGTGCATTTTCTTTTTCTTTGTAGATGGGTGTAATCATTCTATATTTCTTTAATACCCTGAACTTACGTGATAGGTGGGACTGAGCGATAACCGCATAAGTCAGGGTATAATTTCGCATATAAATACATACAAATTATTTTTATTTGGGGCCGGAGACTAAAGAAAACAATAATTTAGAAAAAATGTTTCCGAAAGTCTTTAACAGAGAGCTCGTCGTTTTGTCTCATAGCTTCATGCAGATGTGCAAATGATCGTCTCGTGTATGCTTTGAATGTTTTGATGACTCCCTGATCCGCTGGTTGTATTTTGTGGCAAAAATACAACTTTTACATGTGGGTCAAAATTAGTTAAAGTTGCAGGGGGATGACCTGGTGCATTGTTGATTATTAGCATCACTTTAAATGGAATTTGTTTAGATTGGCAATAACATTCAACTTCAGGTATGAAGTGATGACCAAACCAGTCCTCAAAAAGGGAAGCTGCCACCTAAACTTTACAATTTGACTTCCAAATCACAGGCAAACCAGCTTTAGAATTTTTTCAATGCTCTTGGATTTTCCGAGTGAAAAACTAAGAGAGGTTTTAACTTACAATCACCAGCTGCATTTGTGCCAACCATCACTGTCAATCAATCTTTGGCTGCCTTAAAACCTGGAAAGGTTTTCTCTTCACACATGATAAATGTTCTTTTAGGCATCTTCTTCCAAAATAGGCCAGTCTCATCTACATTGAATATGGTTTGGCTGGTATAGCCACCTTCATCTATCATAGCTTTGAATTTCTGTGGAAAGATGCAGCCTCTTTATCAGCACTTGCCACCTCTTCACTTTCTGCAATGCTATGCCAATTACAGCGCCTTTTGAATCGGCTGAACCAACCTTTACTAGCTTTAAACTCTTCATCTTTAGCACCTTTCCAGCATCCTCTCTCAATCTCTCAAAAACCAGCTTAGCTTGAGAGCACACCGTGTTCTGATCAACAGGACAATTTTTCACATTTACTTGATTATCACATCATAATTTTAACATTACATACCATGAAGTTTAGGAATGATAATACCTACCATTACCATGCGATAATACCATGAAGTTTACGAATGATGCTTGAATTTAAAGATTGAGCATTTTTCACAGCTTTGAGAATTTTTTTTTACCTTTTATAATTGTTCAGACCATTGATTCCAGTAGATCAAACTTCTTTGCCAATTCACAAATTTTCATTTTTGTATCGAACTTAATAATGTTAACTTTACATTCCAAAGATAAAGTTTTCTTTTTTCTTGTTTGATGCAGAAGAATCAGTTCTACTTCGTTTGGATGACATAGTAGTCTCTCAAATTTCCATAGATATAACAAATACAGAAATAAATAACACAAAATAAATTGTAGCTATGCGTCAATTCTGCGCAACACTTTTGAACATGTAAGCTGAACAATAGTGTGGGGGGAGTGAGTACTCAAGAGTTGCGTGGCGCTCAAACAAAAGAGGAATCGATGAGGTTTGGAAAATTGCATAACTCCAGGTTTGCTAAGTTGCGGTACAGTCGAACCCCCTATAACACTGTTGATAATTTCGTTTTATATGAATTCCATGTTGTACAAGTCACTTAGATTTTACAAATACATGTAACAGTGCATGTATTTGTAAAATCTAAGTGACTCATACAGCATGGAATTCATATAAAACGGAATTATCAACAGTGTTATAGGGGGGCCGACTGTATTACTGCATTCCTTCATTCATTTGGTATTTCTTTACATTTATATGTACAGTATTTTCCTTAAGTTTTATTTTTTAAGTTTTTTTTTTAATTTACTATCTTTCTTGTGTCTTCCATCTGGTTTGTATAATTTCTCTTTTTTTTATACTACTACACCATCTGTTACTCTGATTTGTTTTATCTGACTAATACCTTTCATCTGTTTGTTTTGGCATTTGGCTAAGCTGTAAATTTTCTTCTTTCTCTGTTTCTAATAAGTTGTGATTCTATAGTCTTTTTCACTCTATAATTATAAAATAACTAATAAAAGATGAATGGATAAATTCAGATAATGAAATTTTTTTAGTCAGTGTTAAAAGTTTATTTTCCAAATTAAATTCAGGAGGAAAATATCATTTTTGTGATAAATCACAAAGTTCTCAGTTGTAATTTTATACAAATTAGGAATTTAATAAGTATCTTATTTAGTAAATTGTTTATTTAAATTTACTAATACAAAAGATATAATTATAGTTGGCGGATGGCAGTTAATATGTTAAAATAATGTGTTAATATTACTTTAGGTCACATTTTATTTATTCTGTTATACATTCAAAATTTTGTGATACCAATAACTCCAGGATTACACTATACATAACATTATTGTTGTGATTTTAGAAAAGACTATAGCTATAACATAATTTCATAATAATCCTTGGACTATTTAAGATAATACAAAAATTTTAAATGGCTTGTTTATGCATTTAGTTAATTTTTAATATTTTATTGATAGAAATAGTATAATACATGTTGCAGTATACTGTATCTATTAATATTAAGAATATAAATATAAAAAATTTAATTGGTCAATTTTTATCTACTTTCTCCATGAACTAGGAAGTCAAAAACCAAATCTAGCAGCATTTCAAAGAATTAAAGTAAAACGATTAAATATTTCTGAAATTTTTATGTATTGTAATGTATCATTGTACAGAATAGAACTTGGAAAAAATTCTAAAAAGATACATTAAATTATATAAAATATTAGTCTGTGTATTCAAAATTGAGAAAAAGTGAGAAATGAAATTGAGCTAGAAGTCTTAATTTTTTGTTCTGATAGTTTTCTAGAATTGATAACTTTTTACAATAGTAGCAATTTTTCATGCCTAGTTTATCATTTGAAGCTATTAGACACAAAAAATTGGAATGTTGAAATGAATACTGATTTTTGATAAATTTTGATTTGCTGTTATATATGTCATTATTAAATTTACAAAATATAGGAAAATACAGTACATTAAATGTTCTTATTAAATGTGAATATAGATAAGAATTACAAAAATTAACAATACAACTGTCTATCAACAGTACAGAAAAGGTTTATTTAAGCAAGTACATTTGATAGTATATAAACTATAAAGAACATTTTTCAAAATTGTTTTTCATACAGAAACCAGGGTATACAATGAAATTAAATTAATTAAAATTGTTTAAAAAACCTCATTTTTAAAAAACAATTTTGTAGTTAAAAAAAGTTTTTTTACTACAAAATTAGATTACTAGAAAATTAACTAAAATTTAAAAAAAATTAATATTGATTAATAATTTTTGGAGAATGACGTTCATATGTGCATGAGAGTATTGTGATTTTTTTTTCTGCATAAAAAATGAATTTTCGAAATTTAACTTACATGTATTCTCAATTCTTAATGTTTCATTAATTTAAATTTTCAATCTGTAGGTTGTGCTGTAAGTGGACTAATGGCTGATTCAAGAACAATGATTGATAGAGCTAGAGTAGAAGCACAAGTATAAAATTTTATTACTTTACCAAAATTTTATGAAATTATAATTGACATTATAAATGAACAAATTGTATTTTTTTAGAGCCATCAATTTCTATATGATCAAAAGATGCTGGTTGAAAGTGTAGCTCAAGCAGTTTCTAATTTAGCTATTCAGTTTGGGGATAGTGATGATGATGGAAATGCAATGGTAAATATAAATCAACTTTTATTATGTGTAGTGAAATATGAAATATAAATTTTAATTTTTTCTAAAGTTTGTAAATATAGGAATAATACACAGCTTCTAGTTATGCAAAAGTCATAGAACAAGTTATATATTTTTAACAAGCTTTTTCATTTTAATGAGATTTAACAGCATATGTTATGTTTTTCTTATTATTTTGATTATTGTTGCTGTAAAATGAAACTAGAATGACTAGTCTGTATTTAACAATATAGGTAAAATGAATGTTTTGTGTATGTAGTATTCTTATGCAGAGTGTCTACTAATCAAGAAAGTCATGAACAGTTATAAAAAAAGGGTCATAAATTTTTTTTATTAATAATTGCTAGAAAAACAAGTTTACATTTTTGAAAAATAATCATTATGTACTGGTATACCTAACTAATAACATAAGAGTTACTATTATGTTCTTTTGATTAACCTCTGTTTTGTGGCTTTGAAGAACATCACAAGTTTTTCTGAATTCATACAAATTAATTGTATAAAAACAAACAAATCACTTTATTCTACAATTTATGTAAAATTTTTAATTTATCTCTATTTAGGATTACTGTGTTCAAATTTATGTAGTTATTAAATTTTTATAAAATTAAAATTTGTAACTAACAACTATTTCTGTACATTTCAGAGTCGACCATTTGGTGTTGCTATTCTTTTTGCTGGGATAGACAAATGTGGACCACAGTTGTAAGTATAATTATTAAAAAACTAAATAAGAATTTACATACTAAAATTCTCAATTTGTATTCATTTTAAAATTGTCAATTCATTAATTTAATAAATTCTGAAAATATCAGGCCATTTTCTACAAGTAGCTATATCATTTTTATATAATATTGTATTGAATTATGTGGAAAGTAAGTTAAATGTGTGTTAGATTATTAACATTTTTGAATTATGACTATTACATTTTTACTTTAGTTTTGTTCAGTTTTTCTATTTTAGGAGAGTTTTTTTTTTGTATAATGTATTCTGTATAATTAATTCCATTAGATTTAAAAGTAATTATAATTTATTCTGATTTGACAAATTTCTTTTAGTTTTACTTCTGCTAAAATGCTTATGATGACGTTATATGACAAATTTTTATATGATGCATAAAATTGTCCAGGCCCACAATGGGAGTAGCTAGATGGTGAGGGATGGGCAATTACTAAAAAAATTTGCAGATAACATCAATAACAATTTCAGATATTTTTAAAAATATTTAATACAGATTACTAAAATTAGTCAGATAATATAGTTTTCAGTTCTCATTCATTGATGGAAAGAAAGAAAATTTAACAGAAATAATAAAATTGAAATCAAAAATATTGATAAATATATTAAATAAATATAATTCATTTCTATTAAAATGTGTTTTAAGAAAATGGGTTGATAATTATATTCCTCAAAATACATACATACATACATACATATACATACATATATATATATATATATATATCAACAAATTTTAGAAAATGAATTTGAACTAAATGAATGTGGGCAAATTTTATAATAATTAAAATAGAAATTAGTCTTATGTGGTATGTAAAAAAGTGTGTATTGTTTATTCATAAAAATTTATTCTAAGGTTATTTTATAATGCTAAAATAGTAAAATTTACTGAAAAATATATTTTAAAAAAAATAGGAAAAACCTGGAAAAGTCAGGGTATTTAAAAGTTAAATAAAAAGGAAAACCCTGTATTAGGAAAAAGGAATACTCCATTGAGTGTTCAACCCACTGCAAACAAAGTGCTGTAGCAAAGGGAGTCATTTTTCTTGATTACATCACTCAATCTCATAGTTGACCTCCCAACATGTAGCAATGTTCATAGCCACATTTCCATTCTTGTCTTAATTTTTGTCTAGGATTTTTAGCACACCATGTTTCCAAATAAATTTTAATTTGCAAATACCAGCTTATTATTGGACAATTTCAAATTATTGGCTACTTTTTAGGGAGTACCAGATGATCAGATATTTTAGATTATTAATTGAACTTGTACTGTCTATTTAAAACTGGAATATCTAAATAATTTTTGATGAAAATATGTTGGGACATAATTTATATTTTTACTTAAATTCTTTTGTGTACAGCAGTCATATAGTATGTACATTTTTGATGCTAACTGTGGNTAATACTAAACAGACGATAGCAAACTCAATTTAGCCGCTCCGTAGCGTGGCGCAGGGTCGGAGGTAAGTAGTTCGGCTGCTCATCCACTATTGGTCCAGACTCTATCAATCTTCTCGCGAAACGACGTTATAGGAGGTATTTTATACGAAAGTTGCTACAATTTTTTCGCTACGTTATAGGAATTGTCGTTATAGGAACGTACGTTATAGGGGGGTCGACTGTAATTGAAAAAACTTGAAAAATATTAGTTTTATATTTAAAGCAAAGTTAATGTTAGTTATTATGTAAAATGAACAAATACATATAGTAATCATTAATGGAAAAATTTTATTTCTTTTTTTTATAGCTTGGATCAACTGCTATAGGTATTCAGACTTCTGAAGGTGTTGTACTAGCTGTAGAAAAAAGAGTAACTTCTTCATTAATGGAACCTACAACTATTGAAAAAATTGTGGAAATTGATCATCACATTGGTAATATAATATTTTTTTCTCAAATTTTATTAATCAACAATTTATTTTGATAAATTTTCTGTTTAGATTTGTAAATATTATAATAATAATTCATTTATAATGAAATTACATTTTTTACTGATTTAAAATTTATAATCAAACTAAAGCTATTTATTTAGTACAAGGAAATCCTGTATTTAACAAGCATACAACATATTACAATTAATCAATTATAATTCAAACACCAAACAAAAGTGATGTTAATAATTCAATGTAGAATAATATACTGTTAAAAAACAGTACAAAATAATAATAATAAATAATAACAGTAGCAACAGTAATAATCATATCAAAAATGGCAGTGAATAGTCAGCACAAATTACAGTTCTAAAAATTTTATATGAGAATAAAAACCACTTAACACACAATTTAATTTTTCAGATAGAAAAATTAAAGTGTTAATTCTAAAAAACTCAAAAAGCAGTGACGAATATCACTGCCAACTCTCAAACACAAACCGCTACTAACACGCTATAGCCACACCTGGTGACTATAATGATCTGAAAAAAGTTACAAGCTAAACAATTTAGTTACTATTAACAATTTAACTTAGCAAAAAAATTATAAATACAATCATACTTTTATAATTGCAAAACATGCTTATAACAATGAACCAACAAATAATCTGTACCAAAACACGTATATGATAGACATTAGTGCTTTACATTCAGCTACTAAGTGAAAAGCATCAAAGTTAGAATGGCAGAATTTTCAATATTTTGAACATATTCTTTTTAACATATTACAATGTACAGTACATATAACACAATATATGTACTATATATGTGCCTTTCTATATTTAAATAATTTGCTGAACCTTACTCATTAAAAGTATTTAAATGACAATTGTTATATTTATATGTAGAAGATCTGTTTTTGAACTCAGTTAAATAAGTGTCCATCAATCTCACCAAAATATCAGAGGGATCCATTTCATGCAACATAGTTGTATTTCCTCAATAGCCAAATTTCTGCAATGGTGACATAAGTTGCTCGCTTTATGCCATTCTTTGAGTAATCAAATAGAATTTATCAGGAGCAGTAAGTTTGCTAATGACTGTTTATGTAGCCAAATTATATTTTTTTCTAATATCAAAATAGGAGGGACTCTTTGAAACTCTAAATATACATTATGGAATCCACTTTTAAAAAAAGAAAGATGCTTAGTGAAATTTATTTATAAATTATCATCTTTATCACTCCAATTAAAGCCCCAAATCTCAGAACCATATAGCATTACTGATTGTATAAATGCCTCAATTTTAACTTATTTTTCAGTGTAACAATTTACCAGATGTACCATACATTCTTTGATTACCTTATCCACACCAATTTTGCCTTTATTATGAATGTACTATAATTTAGATGTTTGAAAAATGTTCATTGTATTGAAAAAATACACCCAAATACTTACACTCATCAACAACTTCTATTTTCAACTCTGAATATACCAATTCTCGGTTTTGGAATGCTTTTTTCTCCATTTTGGAATACCATTTAGATTTATTAACATTAATGGAGAGTTGTAACTTCTACATTTCATTTTCCAAAAAGCCAATCATTCTCTGCAAACCAATAGGAAAGTCAGACATAATCACCAGATCATTCACATGTGAGAATTTTTACCTCTGCCTTCAAGATTAATACCCACTAATTCAGAATCACAAAATTTCTTAACAAATGAATTTAAATATAAATTAAACAAAATTGGACTCAATATACAATTCTCACTCCTTTAAACATAAAAAAAGGTCAGAGATACTATAGACTATTATCAGAGAGCTGTGCCTCTGAATTAGTATATAATGGAGTCAAAAACTTGACAAATTTATAATGCAAATTGATTATTTAAAGCTATCTCCACAAAAGGTCTCTATTTAAAGAATCAAACACTGACTTCAAATTAACAAAAAAAAATTTATCTCATTTTCTCTTTAAGGATCTCTGAATCAGTGTGTGTAAAACAAAAATATTATCTAACACCAGAAAGCTATACTGGAAGCCAATTGAAAGTATCTCATTCTTATTCAACCATGTTACCAGATGCCTACATGAAAATTTACAAAAAACTTTAGAAATTGTTGATAACAAAATAGCTCTGTAATTATTGGGTAGATCTATAGATCCCTTCTTATAAATGCCATACTTTTTTTTTCAATCTTCTGTAAAAAGAGCATTTTTTTTAGTACTTCATAAATTGTGGGTCATATTATGTTCTTTAATAAACTTATTTACAGCTATACAGTTTCCAATCTTTGCTCTCTTTGTCATGTTCAATGCATTATTTCTTCTTAAAACATTCAATCTGCAATCTTTGTCAACCACAAAAATTTGCACATTTCAGCTGGCATTTGATACCAATCAGAAAACAAGTATTCAATCAAATATCCCAATTCCTCAACCGTCAATGTCAACTAACTTTGAATCTCAGTCAGAATCTCTAATGATTTTTCATTTAAAATTAGTGGATTTTAACATTAGAAATTAATTAGCAAATGATATATGTGAATCTATAAAAATAATGGGTACTCTTTGGTTAACAGGACACCAATCATTTTTACTACTATTTTTAGAGGAATTGATATTTTATTTCATAATACACACAGTTTTAAATTAATATCAAAAAATTAAACATTTACAAAGAAAAAACTTACTACAAACATTCACTGTATTAAACGGGAGACATAAACTGGCAGATGTCATTTAGTATTGCTGTAAACCAGTGTTTTTCGACCTGTTGGTCGCGACCCCCAGGGGGTCGCAAAGTCTTACACGGGGGGTCGCGGGTGAAAGAAAAAGACAAGTGTTTGTAGGTCCTACACTACGATAAAAAAAATCTAGAATTTCAGTGAGAAGGCTGTGCCTGTTTATTTTACAGTACAATTGGTTTTTTTATTGATATTTAAAGAAAGAAAATAAAATATGTAGTTTTTAAAATCACTGATATAGTTTTAATATGGCCCTGGGGGGGTTGCCGGATTTTTTTAACTTGTAAAGGAGTTGCGTATTCAAGAAGGTTGAAAAACACTGCTGTAAACATTTCGTATTTTGAGTGTAGTCTATGCCACATAAATTCTATAAGATATGAACTAAATGGTGATGTGATGTGTCTTGATGAACTTTTTCCTCCATTTGGTACTCCCCACAGTCTTTCTTTGTTTTGAGTATGACATCCTCTTTCAGGGTCTACAAAGTTATACTTGTGATTTACTTGTAAATGTTCGTATCTGGCTTCTTCTAACTCGTCTTTTTTGTATGCTTTCCAACAGTCAGAAAATATTATACTTCCTTTTTTCATATTATTTTGTATTGCATCTATCAATGTTTTAGCTGAATGGTCATGCATGGTGACTAAAAAAATACTTTTGACTCTCAGCAAACTCCACTGAATACCTAACTACTAACTACTGCTGCATAAGAACACATCAGACATTATATTTTCTATGTGTAAATATGTAAATAGGCTTTCGTCTACCTCAATGACTGTTTTCACCACTGATTTTTACATTGGGTTGAGAAATTAGAGTTTGCACATACCTCACGCATGTAATTATTCTAGTCTACAGTTGTACTAGGATTAATTCTGAACTGCAATTGATAAAATTCTCTAGAGGTTAATTCCAAATACCAGAAATATTCTCTTGACTAAAATTGGGTTTCTTGTAGTGGCATTTTCAGCTTGGAAAATAGCCAAAAGTCACACAGAGCCATGATGGGGGAGTACAGAGTATGATGAACCACAGGAATGTTGTGTTTGGTGACAAAAGTCCGAATCAGATGCGCAGAATGGGCAGGTGCATTATCATGATGGAGCTGCCAAGTTTTGGTTGACCACAGATCCGGTCGTTTGCGTCGCACAGCATCACAAAGACAACGAAGGACCTCCTGGTAGTACTCCTTTGTGATGGTTTGGCCTTGTGGTGTGTACTCACGATACACCACCCCATGGGAGTCAAAAAAAATTGTCAACATGACCTTGACATTGCTGTGGACCTGCCAAGCTTTTTTGGCCTCAAGGATTGTCCCCGAAAGCCTGCTGAATCTTGCGAATGGTTTCTACTTGAGTATTGCCAAGCTTCTGGCAAAATTTGATGCAATATCGCTGCTCACGTTGTTCAGTCATTTTCCAACTTAGTGGAATCTGACGAGCGCTCACTACACGTCCTCGCTCATAGGCCGACTGTCAGTGACTAACGCTTCCTGCAGGCAGGAAAAAATTCAGGACTGTACATGACTGTCCCCTCCACAACTCCACCGAAAGAGACCTCCCGTGCATCATTGGTTTACGCAGGAAAAATAAAGGTCCAATACTTTTTGAACATCCCTGTATATCAGCTTTATACTTCTATAATTTCTGTATTTCTGTGCATTTTCTTTTTCTTTGTAGATGGGTGTAATCATTCTATATTTCTTTAATACCCTGAACTTACGTGATAGGTGGGACTGAGCGATAACCGCATAAGTCAGGGTATAATTTCGCATATAAATACATACAAATTATTTTTATTTGGGGCCGGAGACTAAAGAAAACAATAATTTAGAAAAAATGTTTCCGAAAGTCTTTAACAGAGAGCTCGTCGTTTTGTCTCATAGCTTCATGCAGATGTGCAAATGATCGTCTCGTGTATGCTTTGAATGTTTTGATGACTCCCTGATCCGCTGGTTGTATTTTGTGGCAAAAATACAACTTTTACATGTGGGTCAAAATTAGTTAAAGTTGCAGGGGGATGACCTGGTGCATTGTTGATTATTAGCATCACTTTAAATGGAATTTGTTTAGATTGGCAATAACATTCAACTTCAGGTATGAAGTGATGACCAAACCAGTCCTCAAAAAGGGAAGCTGCCACCTAAACTTTACAATTTGACTTCCAAATCACAGGCAAACCAGCTTTAGAATTTTTTCAATGCTCTTGGATTTTCCGAGTGAAAAACTAAGAGAGGTTTTAACTTACAATCACCAGCTGCATTTGTGCCAACCATCACTGTCAATCAATCTTTGGCTGCCTTAAAACCTGGAAAGGTTTTCTCTTCACACATGATAAATGTTCTTTTAGGCATCTTCTTCCAAAATAGGCCAGTCTCATCTACATTGAATATGGTTTGGCTGGTATAGCCACCTTCATCTATCATAGCTTTGAATTTCTGTGGAAAGATGCAGCCTCTTTATCAGCACTTGCCACCTCTTCACTTTCTGCAATGCTATGCCAATTACAGCGCCTTTTGAATCGGCTGAACCAACCTTTACTAGCTTTAAACTCTTCATCTTTAGCACCTTTCCAGCATCCTCTCTCAATCTCTCAAAAACCAGCTTAGCTTGAGAGCACACCGTGTTCTGATCAACAGGACAATTTTTCACATTTACTTGATTATCACATCATAATTTTAACATTACATACCATGAAGTTTAGGAATGATAATACCTACCATTACCATGCGATAATACCATGAAGTTTACGAATGATGCTTGAATTTAAAGATTGAGCATTTTTCACAGCTTTGAGAATTTTTTTTTACCTTTTATAATTGTTCAGACCATTGATTCCAGTAGATCAAACTTCTTTGCCAATTCACAAATTTTCATTTTTGTATCGAACTTAATAATGTTAACTTTACATTCCAAAGATAAAGTTTTCTTTTTTCTTGTTTGATGCAGAAGAATCAGTTCTACTTCGTTTGGATGACATAGTAGTCTCTCAAATTTCCATAGATATAACAAATACAGAAATAAATAACACAAAATAAATTGTAGCTATGCGTCAATTCTGCGCAACACTTTTGAACATGTAAGCTGAACAATAGTGTGGGGGGAGTGAGTACTCAAGAGTTGCGTGGCGCTCAAACAAAAGAGGAATCGATGAGGTTTGGAAAATTGCATAACTCCAGGTTTGCTAAGTTGCGGTACAGTCGAACCCCCTATAACACTGTTGATAATTTCGTTTTATATGAATTCCATGTTGTACAAGTCACTTAGATTTTACAAATACATGTAACAGTGCATGTATTTGTAAAATCTAAGTGACTCATACAGCATGGAATTCATATAAAACGGAATTATCAACAGTGTTATAGGGGGGCCGACTGTATTACTGCATTCCTTCATTCATTTGGTATTTCTTTACATTTATATGTACAGTATTTTCCTTAAGTTTTATTTTTTAAGTTTTTTTTTTAATTTACTATCTTTCTTGTGTCTTCCATCTGGTTTGTATAATTTCTCTTTTTTTTATACTACTACACCATCTGTTACTCTGATTTGTTTTATCTGACTAATACCTTTCATCTGTTTGTTTTGGCATTTGGCTAAGCTGTAAATTTTCTTCTTTCTCTGTTTCTAATAAGTTGTGATTCTATAGTCTTTTTCACTCTATAATTATAAAATAACTAATAAAAGATGAATGGATAAATTCAGATAATGAAATTTTTTTAGTCAGTGTTAAAAGTTTATTTTCCAAATTAAATTCAGGAGGAAAATATCATTTTTGTGATAAATCACAAAGTTCTCAGTTGTAATTTTATACAAATTAGGAATTTAATAAGTATCTTATTTAGTAAATTGTTTATTTAAATTTACTAATACAAAAGATATAATTATAGTTGGCGGATGGCAGTTAATATGTTAAAATAATGTGTTAATATTACTTTAGGTCACATTTTATTTATTCTGTTATACATTCAAAATTTTGTGATACCAATAACTCCAGGATTACACTATACATAACATTATTGTTGTGATTTTAGAAAAGACTATAGCTATAACATAATTTCATAATAATCCTTGGACTATTTAAGATAATACAAAAATTTTAAATGGCTTGTTTATGCATTTAGTTAATTTTTAATATTTTATTGATAGAAATAGTATAATACATGTTGCAGTATACTGTATCTATTAATATTAAGAATATAAATATAAAAAATTTAATTGGTCAATTTTTATCTACTTTCTCCATGAACTAGGAAGTCAAAAACCAAATCTAGCAGCATTTCAAAGAATTAAAGTAAAACGATTAAATATTTCTGAAATTTTTATGTATTGTAATGTATCATTGTACAGAATAGAACTTGGAAAAAATTCTAAAAAGATACATTAAATTATATAAAATATTAGTCTGTGTATTCAAAATTGAGAAAAAGTGAGAAATGAAATTGAGCTAGAAGTCTTAATTTTTTGTTCTGATAGTTTTCTAGAATTGATAACTTTTTACAATAGTAGCAATTTTTCATGCCTAGTTTATCATTTGAAGCTATTAGACACAAAAAATTGGAATGTTGAAATGAATACTGATTTTTGATAAATTTTGATTTGCTGTTATATATGTCATTATTAAATTTACAAAATATAGGAAAATACAGTACATTAAATGTTCTTATTAAATGTGAATATAGATAAGAATTACAAAAATTAACAATACAACTGTCTATCAACAGTACAGAAAAGGTTTATTTAAGCAAGTACATTTGATAGTATATAAACTATAAAGAACATTTTTCAAAATTGTTTTTCATACAGAAACCAGGGTATACAATGAAATTAAATTAATTAAAATTGTTTAAAAAACCTCATTTTTAAAAAACAATTTTGTAGTTAAAAGTTTTTTTACTACAAAATTAGATTACTAGAAAATTAACTAAAATTTAAAAAAAATTAATATTGATTAATAATTTTTGGAGAATGACGTTCATATGTGCATGAGAGTATTGTGATTTTTTTTTCTGCATAAAAAATGAATTTTCGAAATTTAACTTACATGTATTCTCAATTCTTAATGTTTCATTAATTTAAATTTTCAATCTGTAGGTTGTGCTGTAAGTGGACTAATGGCTGATTCAAGAACAATGATTGATAGAGCTAGAGTAGAAGCACAAGTATAAAATTTTATTACTTTACCAAAATTTTATGAAATTATAATTGACATTATAAATGAACAAATTGTATTTTTTTAGAGCCATCAATTTCTATATGATCAAAAGATGCTGGTTGAAAGTGTAGCTCAAGCAGTTTCTAATTTAGCTATTCAGTTTGGGGATAGTGATGATGATGGAAATGCAATGGTAAATATAAATCAACTTTTATTATGTGTAGTGAAATATGAAATATAAATTTTAATTTTTTCTAAAGTTTGTAAATATAGGAATAATACACAGCTTCTAGTTATGCAAAAGTCATAGAACAAGTTATATATTTTTAACAAGCTTTTTCATTTTAATGAGATTTAACAGCATATGTTATGTTTTTCTTATTATTTTGATTATTGTTGCTGTAAAATGAAACTAGAATGACTAGTCTGTATTTAACAATATAGGTAAAATGAATGTTTTGTGTATGTAGTATTCTTATGCAGAGTGTCTACTAATCAAGAAAGTCATGAACAGTTATAAAAAAAGGGTCATAAATTTTTTTTATTAATAATTGCTAGAAAAACAAGTTTACATTTTTGAAAAATAATCATTATGTACTGGTATACCTAACTAATAACATAAGAGTTACTATTATGTTCTTTTGATTAACCTCTGTTTTGTGGCTTTGAAGAACATCACAAGTTTTTCTGAATTCATACAAATTAATTGTATAAAAACAAACAAATCACTTTATTCTACAATTTATGTAAAATTTTTAATTTATCTCTATTTAGGATTACTGTGTTCAAATTTATGTAGTTATTAAATTTTTATAAAATTAAAATTTGTAACTAACAACTATTTCTGTACATTTCAGAGTCGACCATTTGGTGTTGCTATTCTTTTTGCTGGGATAGACAAATGTGGACCACAGTTGTAAGTATAATTATTAAAAAACTAAATAAGAATTTACATACTAAAATTCTCAATTTGTATTCATTTTAAAATTGTCAATTCATTAATTTAATAAATTCTGAAAATATCAGGCCATTTTCTACAAGTAGCTATATCATTTTTATATAATATTGTATTGAATTATGTGGAAAGTAAGTTAAATGTGTGTTAGATTATTAACATTTTTGAATTATGACTATTACATTTTTACTTTAGTTTTGTTCAGTTTTTCTATTTTAGGAGAGTTTTTTTTTTGTATAATGTATTCTGTATAATTAATTCCATTAGATTTAAAAGTAATTATAATTTATTCTGATTTGACAAATTTCTTTTAGTTTTACTTCTGCTAAAATGCTTATGATGACGTTATATGACAAATTTTTATATGATGCATAAAATTGTCCAGGCCCACAATGGGAGTAGCTAGATGGTGAGGGATGGGCAATTACTAAAAAAATTTGCAGATAACATCAATAACAATTTCAGATATTTTTAAAAATATTTAATACAGATTACTAAAATTAGTCAGATAATATAGTTTTCAGTTCTCATTCATTGATGGAAAGAAAGAAAATTTAACAGAAATAATAAAATTGAAATCAAAAATATTGATAAATATATTAAATAAATATAATTCATTTCTATTAAAATGTGTTTTAAGAAAATGGGTTGATAATTATATTCCTCAAAATACATACATACATACATACATATACATACATATATATATATATATATATATCAACAAATTTTAGAAAATGAATTTGAACTAAATGAATGTGGGCAAATTTTATAATAATTAAAATAGAAATTAGTCTTATGTGGTATGTAAAAAAGTGTGTATTGTTTATTCATAAAAATTTATTCTAAGGTTATTTTATAATGCTAAAATAGTAAAATTTACTGAAAAATATATTTTAAAAAAAATAGGAAAAACCTGGAAAAGTCAGGGTATTTAAAAGTTAAATAAAAAGGAAAACCCTGTATTAGGAAAAAGGAATACTCCATTGAGTGTTCAACCCACTGCAAACAAAGTGCTGTAGCAAAGGGAGTCATTTTTCTTGATTACATCACTCAATCTCATAGTTGACCTCCCAACATGTAGCAATGTTCATAGCCACATTTCCATTCTTGTCTTAATTTTTGTCTAGGATTTTTAGCACACCATGTTTCCAAATAAATTTTAATTTGCAAATACCAGCTTATTATTGGACAATTTCAAATTATTGGCTACTTTTTAGGGAGTACCAGATGATCAGATATTTTAGATTATTAATTGAACTTGTACTGTCTATTTAAAACTGGAATATCTAAATAATTTTTGATGAAAATATGTTGGGACATAATTTATATTTTTACTTAAATTCTTTTGTGTACAGCAGTCATATAGTATGTACATTTTTGATGCTAACTGTGGTCTTTGTAGTATCTCATAAATAGCAAAATAGAATAAATTGCTGATTTTGTATAATTATGACATTTAATATATTTATTAGAGAATTTTTATGATAACCTAAACAGTTACTTAAATTTTATGGCCTATCACACCAGTGAATATGATATTACAAAAATTTATTTTATTTTACATCTAAATTTGCAATAGAATAAAAGTTTTTACGATGATTGAATCTAAAAGTATACAATACATCCAAAATGCATTTCGGACTCTTGTGGAGACCTTTTTCAGTTGGTGTTTTTTTTATAAAGATAATAAAAGCAAAATATATATGAAAGGTTACATTGAAAAGGTTTAAATAATCACAGACTCACAATTAAAGAAACTGATGTTATTTCATATGTACTATTCAACAGAATCCATTTTTTTTTCTATAATCAATCCAGCTGTGGACATAAGGTTGCCAACTGGAGAAAATTTCTCTGGGGACATGCTAGTAAAAATGGGGGATTTTCATATGAAACAATTTATTTTTTAAACATATAAGTATTTACTTTGAGATTGTGCTTCAAAAAGAAATTTTTAATCTTTTAGCACTATTGTGTACATCTCTTGACAGGATTCCTTTTAATTTAACTTTATTATGAATTCACTATTTATTAATTTCACAGAACACCTGTTTCGGTTTTTGTCCGAAACATGTTCATAAGAGAAAAAACTTTCTAGAAAAGCACTGATAGCTGGACTTCTCAGACAAAATGACAATAATTTGACTAAGTTTGGCAGTGGTTTACTAAAATTCAAAATTTATGCCCATTTTTCTGGAACACTTAAATTTTCCATCATTACACTTGTTATTTTTTCTATAACTATAGCTATCTTGTTATATAGATCATCCATATTAAAGTTATATTGTAAATTCAAGGCTTTTGCCTTGAATTTTTACATTTTTACCCATTCATAAAAAGTGTATTTGATTTTATCATCAAATCTCAGGTTATTTATTAAAAAAGGAATCTGTTTTCTGAATTGGCTACTTTTGGGCTATTTTAAAAAATTTTTGGCTAGAAAAGCTAAAACATCTGGCAATGCTGAAAGCTGCTTGAAAGCAAAATCAGTTCTGTATGCAAGTAGCAGCATGGATTCTAATGTGATCATTAATCAGTGATTGATATAAGCTAACTTGTTGCTTTATCACATCTATGGTCCACACTACACTTATATGTATTTCATTTTCAATAAATATGTTTTTATACATTTTTTAATGGTATCATTTAAAAATACTTTGTGGGATTTTTTGTGAACATCCCACACGCTCCGTTATTCATTAAGTTGGTCAAGTCTGTCATCGGGCACTATTTTCATTTGTTCCCTGCACATTATTGTACAGTACATATCATTATTGTTCTGCTGCAACATATATCTGTGTAATGTTTATTATTACTATTGGTATTGTCTATTTTATACTACTATACATGTTATTCTACTCTCAAGTTATGGATCATATCGGTTGATTTATATTGGTCATCTCACCATCTGTTCATACTTCTTCTCTATTGTCATACTGTTTGTACGTTATCTCTCTGTTATTATGTATGTATTTACCTGTGCTTTGATATATCTCTGTATTTAACCCGATTATGCTCTAGTGGTATTGGGAGTAAATAAAGATAAAGAATCAATAAAAGGAGAAAAACTCATATTTCTTTAATTATGATGTCTTTGTGGTTATTTACTTTTTTAATGTAACCTTTCCTATGTATTTTGTTTTTGTTATCTTTATAAAAAACACCAACTGAAGAGTGTCTCCACAAGAATCTGAAATGTATTTTGGATGTATTGTATACTTTTTAGATTCAATCATTGTAAAAACTTTTATTCTATTGTAAATTTAGATGTAAAATAAAATAAATTTTTGTAATATTATATTCACTGGTGTGGTAAACCCTAAAATTTAAATAATAGGCTATAACAAAAATTAAATGGACTAAGGACAAAAAACAATGGACAATATAATATTTATTAGTTACAAATATAATTCAATAAAAATATTTTTATTACAAATAGATACCACATGGATCCTTCAGGAACATATGTTAGATATAATGCCAAAGCTATTGGTTCAGGATCAGAAGGTGCTCAACAGGCTCTACAGGAATCATATCACAAAGTTAGTATTATGTTTGAATATAATAATAAACTAAATGGAACAATTGGTTAGTTCTTTAAAATGTTAATGTGTAAATAATTGTTTTCTTTATCAAAATTCATGCATAGATGTTTTTCAAGAATATAAGAATTTTGATAAAGAAAAGTACATAGTAAATTGTATACAATATATAATAAATTATACTGAAATGCTCTGTTGATGGTAATAATTTGAAATTAGTTTACATAAAGGCTATTCCAATATTTCTTTAATTGATGAAATAAATAAAGCATTTTACATTTTTAAACAATATATTGTAAATATATTCAAAATAAGCTTTATTTATTAACTTGTTTTATTGTGTTACCATAAATATATTTTCTTTTTTATCTAGAAAAAAAGCAAATATATTTCTGAAAGAAGTAAAAATTTTTCTTTCCAAACTCAATGTTTAATTGCTTAATGTTCAAGCATTCAAGGAAATTTAAATATCAAGTAGTCAAATTTATTGAACAATAAATGTTCTCAGAACCTATCGGTTTATTTTCATACTTATATTGGGAAAGAATGTGGAATTTATTTTTTTTTAAAAACTTCATTTTAAACAGCATTTTGCTATGAACTAAAATATGTACAGTAGAACCTCGATTATCCGGACTAATTGGGGATGAAGGTAGTCCGGATAAGGAAAAATCCGGATAATCGAAACAAATACTTTAATTTGTCTTTTAATGATAATACAACACGTTTTCTTTTCGATGACATATCGGTAATATTAAAAGTAAATACTGTATTTAAATCGTGATCAAATTTTCAAGAAACAAA